GTTTACAACCAAAATATTACCTTTTTTTTTTCTTCTTCAGCAATTTACATTCATTTCACTCCCTCCTTCTCTTTGTTCCCATTTAATATATCAAATCATAAACTCCATGAGCACACAATTCAGCCCTATAGGCTGAATACAGGCAAATAAGTATCCTTGTTGGTGTTCTTCAAATCGGTGGATCAATTTGCTTCCAAGTCTTCTATGCAAATAGTTTACCATCAGAGGCCGAGCACGCTGACGTGCCCTGTATTCAGCTCCACTTTGACTAATAGGAGATAAAGGCGCAGGTGTGAGCTGTATGGAAATGAACTGAAGAGGACACTCTACTGTCATTTTCAAGATACAGAAGGTGGTTTTTCAGAAGTAAGGTTAGGGGTTAACCTTCGAACCATTTTGTTTCAAATTGTAACTGTTTTAGTTCTTGATCTCAGTGGTTTTTGTCACTGATTCTGAGTGTTTGTTGTGCTTGTAATCTTGACGGCATTGGAAAATGAGGGAAACCTCAGTGTCCTTTCGAGAATAAATAAAGGTTTGAAATGAACCTAACCTAACCCTAACCCTAATTGAAGAAAATCAATCCACTTTCATTTAATAAAATAAAAAACTGTATTATAACATCCCCTGGGTTGCTAAAGCTTCTCTAGTAGTGACAGAGACATAGATTGCTTTTTTTTTAACCGTTACGCAAAATGTAAAACTTGCATGGATTCCTAGTAGATAGATTGAATACTGGTTTTGTGGCAGAACTGCTTTGTGGTTGAAATTTGATCACAGAGTGTAGCTCCACAGCACAGTTTGGACTCTGACGCAGCTGGATTCTGTCTACAGTGCATTGTGGGAGGGCTAGGTCATGTTCAGTAGTCAAGTGGACCAAAGCCAAAAGCCAGCGATCGTCTCAGGCCAGAGAGGAATACTATTAGCACAGTAACCAGACCTGGGTCCCCATGGCAACAATGTGTTTGATAAATAGTCATTTCACAGGAGAATATCAAACCTTGTCAAAGAGGGTAACTCATCCATCAGAGAGCTTTCTTTTCTATCATTTTTAGTCTCTAAAAGCACAGACTTGAATGCAAACTTACCTCCAGACTCACTGACATTTTTTTTGGCCAGACATAACATTCCATGCCTTTCTCACACAGACTGGAACATTCTTTCTCCCTATTTGATTCAACATACCTGAAGCAAGAAAAACAAAGTTATGTCATCCTTGGTCTACTTCTGGCCTATAAGCAGCGCTCTTGTCATTGACAACACTTTAGCAACTGGTGTTAAGCTCTCCCTCTCTTCGTGAAACTCTGTTTTGTCTCTTTCAGGTTTCACATTATCTCTCTGTTATCTTGTCATTCTGCTTTGTACAGGCTAAAAAGGTGCACATTTGATGCTGTTGCAGAGAAAACTCCTTTTATGAGGTCTTTGACACTTTGTCACATCTTACTGTGCTGCCTCAAAGTTCTTTTCTCTTTGTTCTTTCAGGGCTGCCTGACTGGCTGACTGACTGGCCAAAGCCCTGCAGCCCTGTGATAAACATTGTGTCATCGCTTCAGGCTCTTCACCCCTCTTCACCCTGCCATGTGAGGGTGTTTAGTGGCTGCTAAGTACTGACTGATTGACTGGGGTGAAGGTGTGCAAGAAAATGGTTTCTCCTTCCAGCCGAGTGTAGCTTTCTAAGCCTCTAAAGTATATCAACACATTTCCTCTGGTTTTATCCTTAGGAAATCACATATTCAGCCCCCTGATGTCTTTCTGGCTTGGCCTCAAACGCCAAATAAGACTTATGAGCTCAAATCCTCCTTGCAGCACATTTTCTCAACCCTTGAATCATTTACATAACAAGTTTGCTGGCCACTGCCTCACACTGATATTCAAGCCCAAAAAATATGTCCTGGCAAGCTTCCTCAAGCCATACCGAACATTTTGTTCTGTTAACAAGTGGCAAATGAGAGTGATGGCCGCCCAGCAGATTGACCACCCAAGGTGAGGTCACAGTATAAAAACCTCAGCCAGGCTTTCAACCAAAGCCAGGGCCCCTCCTAAAGCGAGCAATCGAGAACAAAAATGTCTGAACTTTTGCAGACCTCAGCTCAGCTCAGCGGCTTTCTTGTTTCAACTGACAGGATTAGGATGCGGGTACATGTGTGAATGAATGAGCGCGTTTGTGTTTCTGCATGGAAAGGCGAAAAATGGTACACTTTGGAAATCAATGTTTTAATCCGGCGAGAAAGCCTGAGCCACATGATCCGTGTCTGTGATTCCCACTCGAGGAAACAAAGTGTTCTGGCGTTAAGACTTGTAAGACTGAACAGTTGAACCGACACAGACCGATGCGTGGTCACAATGGACAATGCCAGGGGTGAACACATGAAGCCAGACATGTTGAAATGAAAGGATTGGACTAAATAACCTGGAGGTAATTCATAAAGTCTTACTGTTGTTACATTTTAAACTGAAATAAAAAAATATATATACCGGCTTTATTGGTTCATTACTATTAAAAAATAAAACAATCAAGACAAACTGGAGGAAGCTGCTAAATTATAGCGGTATCATTTTGAGTATAGGCAGAGAGATGTGAGCAAAAAGAACGCTTGTGTAACATTTAACAAAGACCTGCCAGCGGACATTATTCAATTTATAATCGTGTAAACACTGAATGCTGTGAAAAATTACTCACTGGAGAAAACACAAGTATAATTCGAAGTCTAAGTTCATGTGAGGAGCATGTCCTGACATTCAATGTTTCTTTGAAAAGCACTATTTGCTCTGAAGTCATTTCCTCTTTTTGCCAAAAGGGAGTTCTGGTTTCTGGTTCTCAAAGCTTTGTTTCTTCACCCCTTATCCTACTTAATTATTATAAACTGTATCTTAATGACACGCCCTGGCTATCATTAAATAATCAAGAACAGACAGTTCCTTCACTGAGTAATAGAGCTCCACAGCACAAACAAAATCACCTCAAAAGGTGTTAGATTGATGAGCGTTTAAACAGCTGTTATGCAACGCAACAGATGCAACTATAAAGTGGCGGTAAGTTCTCTTGAAAGCCTGAACATGATGTTTTTTTCACACATAAGTAATGTCTACTGTAGACTGTCTTGATCCAGGTATTAAAAATAATAAACATGAAACTTTGAATCACTTCAGCCCAGGAGTTTGGAAGTAGTGACTTTTTACAGCAAAATGCTGCAGTTTTTTGGGGCCTGGAAGATCATCACTGTCATCAGCCTGAGCAGTGTCAGTGCATGGTAAATAACTGATGTATTCCAATGTGTCCGTGCAGTGTCCAAAGAAGACAGGAACAGTGTTTAAAATGTTGCATTCTTCAATGGAACATGTCATTACAAACATAGTTTAACTTGATATAGGCCTACATTGATAATTATCACACATATAAAGTTTGTTCTTGAAGGAATTCAAACTCCAGACAGCATTAACTTTAAAAACTTGTGCCTAATAGCCTTTTTCCACTTGATTTTCTTCTATTATTTTTGGTTGGGAAACAACAACAACTAGGAAAAGTGAATCATTGAGTTGTAATGACAAAAAATGTAAATATGTTTCTAATCTGAGTTTGAGAACTTTGAACAGTATCAACATCATAAAATGTAGTCAGTCTGTTGCTTTGAATACACGTAACCTTGAGAATAAAATACCTTTGACAAGTAGTGGTAAGAGAGGTTGTAAAGTTCAGCACTGACATCAAGCTCCAACTGTACCATACCATAAACGTAACATACAGTTTATGGTATGGTATGGTTACAACATAACACTATGTAACAGCCTGATAACAAAATGTACTTCTACTGACATACATCTGACATACTGTATATCTCCAGTTTAAATGAATGACGGCATCTACAGAGTGTATGACATTCAAAGGTTGCTCTTAAGATAACAGGTATGTGTTGTTAAAGGTAACCGTATTTCCCATCATATCCATGCATTTTACTACCCAGATAGCCAGTAAGATTGTACATCATATTACATCTTTATAGTACAACTATACATTGACTGCTGGCTGGGGTTTGGGAGTTCATGGAGTGATGGTAAAAAAAAAAACAACTGCAGCTGACTGGAAGGCTGCTAAGTGATAATTTGAGGCTGGAGTCATTTGACAGGAGCTGCCAAACAAACTGGCAGAATCTTTGAAGTTGAACTCTCTCTTTCTGTCAAGCACTTTGCGGTGTGATGCCAAACTCTGTTTCATTAACACTCTTTGGCAGAAGGCAGCAGCAGAAAGGGTGCCATGCCAATTTTAATTGACCTCCTGCAGTAAAAGATCCTTTTAATTGAATCAATCTGACAAAGTGTTGGAATAACCTCGTATTTTTGTGAGGGGTTTCTTGCAGGTTACTGTTTATTTCACTCTGTTTTCCCTCCAAGTTGTGTTTAGTCATTTTGAGGTAAAGCTCACTGTGGTGTGATGCTTCTGGCTTCTAAGAGTTATCAATGTAATGTTATGTAACATGTTGAATATGCGTCATGAAAGACATGGATGGCATACATGCAAATAGACACAGAGTGCTGTACAAATATTTGGACATCTTTAGGACAAAGTGAATCCCTACTTGAATTTCTTTAGATGTTTAGGAATACAAATGAAACCACAAAGTGCTTTGTTTGTTGGACATACAAGAGGACAACCACATTCAACATGATAGTCAGCATCTACAGGAGTGAAGATGGGCTCTCTCAAAGTCACACCCCAAGAGGATCATTGACTCATCACTTGACTAATGCTTAATCTGCTGTAAACTTTTAAATCAGCCTTTCGAGAAGAAGTGCTGATGAAGAAACTGGATTAGCCATCTGGTTTATATGAGCACTAATTGATATTAAGATATGATACATGCGGATGTAACAGTTGAACCAAAGAGTTTGAAAGAACTGAATGTTCCTAAGAAAGGTAAGAAAAACATTCAGTTTAAAAACAAATATGTTGTGCTACTGTAGGGACCCTTTGTGTTAGTGTATCAGATGTGAATCCACAGACATACCTGTGAAAGTAGAGCAGTATGGACAGCATGGTCTGGTCAATGTTGCTGTTGCAGATCCCCTCGTTGAGCAGGAAGCAGGGGTCCCTCACCACGGACTCCAGCGAGTCCTGCCTCATGATGTGGTTCAGCTTGTCCGTGTTCAGGTTCTGGTACATCAGCTGGTTTCGGAGCTGGCGGAAGTGGCTGACACTGGGGCTGCATGGGCTTCCTGGTAGGCCATCTGATGGACTGCTGGACATGGAGTCATCGCAGCCGTTTGCCAGGTCCAGGCAGCAGCTGCAGCAGTCCAGGCCGATGGGTGAGCGGCAGTCATCGTCGGTCATCTCGAAAGGACAGGTGGAATGGATTGTGGGAGAGGTCCAGGTGTGAACGGGCAGGTACAGGACTCCTGGAGAGGATGGCAGAGGCTGAATGAAAGACAAAACAGAGACACAGACTCGGCTTGTGTCTCCTCTTCAGGTCGAGGAGGGCAAAAATGGCAGGTTGAGTTCCTCCCCTGAGAAGTTGCCGTCACGCTGGGCCACTCTGCCTGCTTCTATCCCTGAGTTTTTTCCTCCTGTGGCTCTGCTGCGTTTAGCCTTTTGTTCAGGGCCGTCGGCTGTGTTGCTACTGTGGCAGGAGACAGAGAGAACGCCCTGCAAACACATACACACGCCCTCACACCGATTCAGCAGGAGTGCGCTTGAAAGCAAAACCCAGAAGCTGCTTATCACTTTTTTCTCCCTGCACTTTTTTTTTTTGTCTTTGGTTGGTTTGTCAAGAGACAGTGGGAGGGAGCGTAAAGAAAGGGAGGAAGGGAGGGAGACAGAGAGGGTGGGGAAACCCCTGTGATTGGTAAAAAGCAGTGCTGGTATCACGCACTGGGCCCTCCCCTCTTTTCTCTTTCAGCTCAGTCGTGCAGGCATTATAAGAGGAAGGGAAACAGACAGCAAGTGAGTACAGCCTCAGAGCATGCTTGAAACATGTGCCGCTCTGTCAGCTCCACCCTGCCATGCTGACAGCACAAGGAGTGGCTGAGAGAGGGAGGCTGAAAAAAAAAAAACCACAGACACGATGATACATCAGACTTGCTAATTTGTGAAAGAGAGATGAAACACACTGTTTGCGGCGGATGTGAAATGCCAGAATGATGTTTTTGATCATTTTGAAACAATAAAAGGAAATGCCTCATTGTTAACCAAGTGTGCTTTTAGTCATTATGCTCACTTCTATTGAAGTCGTTTTTTACATTACTCAAATGATCAGTTTAAGCTTTCTTTGCCAACAAACTGACCAGAATAGATATGAAGAAAATATGTTCCTGTAAACCAGCTGTGAGAAACTTTCATCTTATGTAATTTTCCTTTTATAGTCTTCTGACGACTCATAGCACTTTTACACTAACGCATCCACACACTGACGGTAGAGGCTGCTAGGTAAAGTGTCCATCAGAAGTAACTTTTCCCATTTATTCATACACATTCATACCCGACCGCCAAAGCAACAGGAGCATTTCTTCTGTTTAGGCATATGGGACATGTTGCTGCAGGAGCTGGGGATTGAACCCCCAACCATCCAGCTGAGAGACGTCCGACTCTAACAACTGAGCCACAGTTGCCCGAGCACATCTGTGGACAACCCAGTACGGTACATCTTGCTGATCTAGCCCTGTGCATGCATTAGTCGTACCTTCTAATGAAAAATGTCCTCCATGCTTTTTTTGTAACTTAAAAACGCATGAGTGGATTATTTTGTGTTGTGTGCTGTAATTCAATTTATCAGAGTCCGACCTGGTGGTGGCTGTGAGAGTTAGAGAAAGTACATCTTTTGGCTGATGATTCCAGTTGCTTTTGTAGGTCATTAGACTGTTATCACTAGTTTTTAGCTCCTTAAATTTATAAAACTTAACCTCAACAGAGGCCTGTGTGTGTGTGTGTGTGTGTGTGTGTGTGTGTGTGTGTGTGTGTGTGTGTGTGTGCGTGCGTGCGTGTCTTTGCATGTCCTTCACAAAAGCGGGAGTTTCCTCTTTTAGACGACTCACAACGGGAGTTTCCTCTGTTAGACGACTCACTTCTCTACCAATGTGCCCTCCAGCATCCTGCAACCCTGTGTAGGTTAAAGAACCCTGAAAGGTTAATGAATGGCAGCCACTATAGACAGCAAGACTAAAGACAGCCTGTTGTTTAGTCACAAAGTGACCTCAATGTGCTTTACATTCAGGGTAAAAACCTTGTAATACATGAACTAGATTCCTACAATTATGTATACGATAAAGAAATCCAATCCATGAAAAATGTATTGTGTTTTATAATGGATATTTAAAAAAAAGTTAAGTTTATGTCTTATAAAAAATCAATATAAATAGGTTATATAGCTAAGCAGTATAGAATGCAATTTTGGATTATTTTGCATGTGCATGCATGAGAAAGAGACTGACCATGTGCTCTCAACATGCATAGTAAACATAAACACTATCTTATCAGGCCTCCCTTTTCTTTGTTAAGGATTTAGTCAATGTCTTATCTGTCCCCACAACAACAGTTAGGTAAGAGCTTTGCATGCTGTGGTCTTGTCCTCCAGACGACTGTTTCACAAGTCCTGCTAAATACCAGGACAATGTCATCACAGGCAAACACGGCCTCCCTGAGCCTTGACCTCGGCCACTTGAGCAACAAGTTTACAGCATGCTGTCTGCAGATGGCAGGTCATACAGAAACACGTCAGCAACATAATTACAAAAAGCATGTCTTACTCCGAGGCATGCCGCTGTCTCTGCGGCACTTACAAAAAGAGTCACACCATAAGATTAAGATTTACTTTAATGATCCCTGCAAGGGGAAATTTCTATTTTTACACTCTGTAATTCATGCAACACACACATAGGCTGAAATATACACATGCACAAACAGGATCCTATGGACATGCACTAATGGAGAGATGTCAGAGTGAGGGAGCCACCCCGGGCAGGCGCTCCTGAGCTGATGGTGGAGGGGGGGGGGGTCGGTGCCTTGCTCAAGGGCACCTCAGCAGTGCTCAGGAAGTGATCTGGCACCTCTCCAGCTACCAGACCAACTTCCAGATTTGGTCCGCACTGGGACTTGAACCGGCGACCCTCCGGTTCACAGCCCAAGTCCCTACAGACTGTGCTACTGCCGCCCAAAAAGAGTCACACCATGCATTGTTTGGCAGCAGTGGGATCAATTAAGAAGAGAAAATGACTGACTATTGCTTTATTGAGTGTGTAATGATAGCCTGAGGCAGCGAGCTGCTGTAGTTTGGTTTGTGGAGAGAAGGAAGGAAGAAAGGCACAGGGGAGTTATTGGGTAGATGCTGCTCTCTAGTGGGAACATTTTGTAATGTCACTAATATAGACAATAGGAAACACCTTCAGCATTATAAGGCAAACACTTTCGACAATTACTTTCCTGTATCTTCACCTTTTAGTGCATGGCTTACAACAACTTCCTTCGTTCTTGATCTCTGACCAAGCCCCGAGTGTGGTGAACAAAGTGAAATATCTGGGGCACTTAATCAGGAATGACTTGAGAGATGATGATGATGATGCTGATAGCACGCCATATTTCCAATATGCAGAGACAATGATAAACCGAGCTTTTCAAGCTTACTGTACTCCGCTTTACTTCTTACTTGTGGTGCAATAACAGTTCAGCTCATATGAAATGTTAAAGGTGGCTTATGATGATGCATTTAGAATATTTTTCACGCAAAATTGGGTGAGTGCAAGTCATATGCACATCATTTTTTATGTTCAAATGTATGTGTCAATTCATTAATTCAGAGAATGAAATCATAATAGTGCTCACTCAACCCACACTTAGTGACAAAAGATATCCCCCCTCTTGTTTCTCAAACATTGGAACAAATGTCTCTTTGTGTTTTAATTACTGTCAACTTGTAAACTGTAGTGATTGTATCCCTCTGTTGTTGTATTGTATTTATATTGCTTATGCTTCTTTACTCTGATAGGGACCTATGGGTCTGAAATAAAGTAATAAAAAATAATAAAAAATGTTTCTCTCTTTTTTCAAGAAGCCAACAACTTTGTCATCAAACTGATTTTTAAGTGTATACAAAGTCAAAAAGTGGAAACTTTAAATTGTTTGGCTGCACTTTACTAGCAACAGGAAATATTTGCCTTTGTCAGCTGATGAACAAAATATCCTCTTTGACCAGAGCTGCAAACTGTCTGAAATGATCACACTGTGGAGAACTCTGTGGCAGTATAATTTCAACCTCGTGGGGGCTTTCCCATTTCACTTTGAAATATATAATTGTTTAGACTAAATGTAATGGAAGGTTTGCTGAAGCTGCATCATCTCTGTTTTCTGACAGCTTGTTTGGGATTAAAATATTTTGCCTCCAAAAATACAATCTACACTGAGCGTAATGAGATGGACAGACTGTACAAAATAGTAATTTGTTTCTATAAGTGGCACATTCCTAAATTCTGTACAAATATCACTGATAATTTCAGTCAGGCCAGGAGACCCCTGACGTCCACGTTCTGCTCCATGTGCAGTTTGCAGACAAACAAGTTATAAGAGTCTCACTGACACTGTAACACATATTTATTCTCCCAGCTGAATGACATGGATGAACAAAAATAACATAGAAGGTTGCAGCATAGTGTTAACTACTACTTTTAACTATGAATGTAAACTAAAGTATCATTATTCAAGCTAATTATAGCGCACTAACGACTAAAGGCAGTCGTAAAAAGTCATTCAAAAAGCCATTTGAAATGATACAGCTCTTGTGCTTTATCTAAAGGAAATATAAATCTGGAAGAAGGAGATTGTGCTACAATGTGGGAGCACTGAATGGTTTTGCGTTGGTTTTCTTCTTAGCAGGTCTGCTCAAACTCTTTGCCGGTCGAGGTCCAGGGTCTGACCCACACCGTGAATAAGCATTGGTAAGGCTTAGCTTATCTTCAACACTAAACGTTTTTTTTTTTTCATATTTTTGAATGCTTGTGTTCACCACCGAAGACCACCTTCACCATACTTGACTTTGTTTGAACTTCAGAACATCCAGACTCTCGTTTTTTTCTAAATTAATATAGTGCGTTTGTCCCAAGGCAAACATGACTAGCTTTTTGCTCATAAAACAATTATATATTCTTGGCCTTTCCTAAATGCACCTTTATTCACCAGATTGGCTATTTACTGTAAGTCTGAGATTTTTTTTTTATATGATGTGCTTTTTACACTGACATGCCAACATAAGGACATTTCCTCTGCTAAGTGGTAACAGGACCATCATGGACCTTCCCAGAGGTTTGAGTCTGAAATGAATAACAACAGTTTGTATAATTTGGCATTAAAGCTGTACAGGTGAGCTCACACTTTAAGTCTACAGCTCTGGGACAAAGTTGTTTTTGGTTCATTTCCCTGAGTGTAACTTCAAGGTGGAATAATTGAAGACCTGTTTAGTGGAATGAGTTTTTATGAGCTGCCAGTGAGCTTGTCTGACTTCAGAGTGAGTCAAAACAAATTTGATATAGTCTATTAATGATTTAAGAATATTATGGATTTTTTCTCTACTGCTTGCTAATTATTTCTTTCTGCCTGCAGCCATGTGCTATAAAAACACTTCAGAACAAAAGGTTAGGTCACATGTGGATTAATAATTGTTTTAGTTCGGAAACTTCTAGAGGGTTGTTAGACAGCCTGCATGTGTAAACAAAGAAACCTCTATCAGTGAT